TAAAAGTTGCAGCTCCGTGTCGCGACTCTTATTAGAGGGACTCTATTAAAAGACTCACGAACGCGCGGAGTACTCGCTGAACTGAAGAAAAAAAATCTTTGGTCGTCGTTAGACCGGGAATTGACCGTCTCGAAGTAAACAGCTACTTTTGTTTTTGTAATTTTGTAATTTTGTAATTTTTTCATGTTACCTTTCCTCGCGTGCGTTGCTTGCAAGGGAGGATGTCCCTTTAGAGCAGGTCTCTCTCTATAATTATGAAGCGCAAATACAGTAAAAGAATTAAATGCGCGAGAAAGTCAATTTATGATTTTTAATTAAAACTGAGAAAATTACAATTATCTCTCATTGACGCTAGCTAACATTCATGCTTTAGTTCAATTTATTATTATAATAACACAATTAGTAAAATACAGTTTACAACAATAATACAGATATACAAATTTTATACAGTATAAATAGTGCGGAAATAATGAAGTAAAATAAAAATATGAAGCTCTTTTATATATTAATTGTGTAATATCATAAACAGAATAAAGTGACAATATTTTTAGAATCCGAATATCTTTTTTTAATGACATATTCTTTGACCACTTCAAACTTATAGTTAATTTTTCTATAATAAAAGAAGTATAATAACTTATTGCTATGTTTGACAGTATTATATAAATTTTAAATCAAATTTCTATTAAAATATATTCCCTTTCCAGTTGACATTATCTGAGGAATATAATCTTATTATTTAGCTCTGAGAAAATTAATTAGCGAAAAATTTTTCTTTTATGGCTTATAATTTAAAAGCTAATATCTAATAATAATAATATATTTATACAGTAGTAATATATATTTATATTATATTAATAATAAAATATAGATATATATGATCTATGAGATTATTTTTCGGTGTTTTATTCTGCTTATAGTATCATTTATATATAAAAAGTTTCATATTCACACACAACAAAAACTGTTTTTATAATAATTGAAGTATTAGTAATATCACAAAATGCAAGATGATGCTCGAAGCTTAATTATGCGATCGATCGTTGGATCGATGCAATGGTATCCGAAATTCTGAATATGAAAACCGGAAAATTTTTACAAAGCGAGTTAATTATTCGCGACGCAAATTTAACTCTAATAAATTTCAATAATGCGCTATCGCCTTCGATGATATAAAGACAATAAAAGACAATAAAAATACCTATATTTCCTAACAGGTTCCAACATCTAAAATTATATTTGTAATGATAAATTTATTACAAAATAAAAACAAAGCAATTGCTCGCGACGTCGACAATGAGAGAAAAAAATTGATATTAAAAAATAGCAGCAGAAATCACGACAAGAAGGCAAGGTTAAACAAAACTTTGCCGAGTTGAAAAATCGATGCCCAAGAGCTCTTTCAACTTCCACGATTTTAAACATTTTTAATAAAGATAAAAATAAATCTATTCATTATTTTCTGACAAGAATTTTTAACCTGAGAAAACATAGTCTTTGCTTTAATAAATACAACCATTTCATCAGTAAAAAGAGAAAGCTTTTGTAATTTAATTAAACACTATGTACTGATTTCCCCAAAAAATCCACCTTGCTATAAAATTATACAATTTTCAGATTGCTAGAAATAGAAACTAAAATTGTTAAAATTGTCTAAATTCACTGCAAATATTATTATTAGAGAAAAACTAGATTTTAGAGCAGAAAATGATGAAGAAGACGAATATAAACGAATTTTCTCAGCTAGACTGTATGTCAAGAAGAGAAACATAAATCCAAATGTGGAAGAATTTTCAAATAAATCTTATTATTATTATCACCTAATAAAAAAATATGATATTCGTATAAAATAAGATCGAAAAATGAATAATAAAACATTACACAATACGATAAAACATTGCATATACAATGCTATAAACGATAAAATATTCATGCAAGTTTGCATACAAAAATAAAAATAAACCCATTATTGACGAATGACCAGCATCCGCGATTTCTTTCGCTTATAAATACACGTTCCTTTCTTCCGATCTTTATTTAATTACGCGCTAAATCGCGTTGTATACGTTTTATCAAGCATAATGACTCGATGGAATCCGAAAAGCTGACTGTGACTGGGTTGTATCTAAGCGCAGTCCTCCTCCGAGCGACATATCGCGTGTCAACGTGGGACCTTCCTTGCACAGCGAGCTGTTGCCGATCTATTGCAAGATAAGTCGACTGTTCACGGCGCGGTGCGAAATTACGTTTTACGATCGTCGCTAAATTAACGCTTCCGAATGGGTTCTTAGCGCCATTAGATTTACCGAACTGCAATTATCTGCGCTGCGCGTCGTGTTAATTGCAGCTGCAATGGTCACTTCGGAACAAGCTCTTTTACGACCTACGATACTTGTTTGTAATTTTACGCCTGGCATATTTGATCTCACTGCATTATATAAATTTTCACTGATATAGGTACATTTTAATATGCCCTGTGCATTTCGCCTGTGTAACACCAATACGTCGTAAAATTTATAACGTTTCTTCCGATTCATAATCGTATTATTTCTTTGTGAGTAAGAATTAAATGCGTTTGTTAAAGTCATATGATTACATGATTTTATCGTAAAATGTTTAGAATAAATTATAAATAAAAGTAATTATCGAATCGGATTGTGGATCATGACTCCTTGCTTCCGCCGTGTAAACCTATGTCCTTTGAATGATTTGTCGTTGCCAAAAAAATTCCATATCGAGCAGACGTTACTGCTGCAAAACGTTACTGTAACAGATATTCAATACAGTTGAAGGGAAGTGTATTGTTATCCAAAAGGGAAGTATATATATTATATATACATATATATTTCAGATGAAATTAAATAACATCTTACTTTTAATTAAAAACAACATTGAAACAACTATCGAAAATAAACACTACTATACATTTTCTTGTTTTTTGACTCGTCTATGTCTATGTCATACATCTTTCTTCGCTCTTCTTAATGTTATATAAAGTGATGCGAATTTGCATTTTTAATTGTGTTGGATATAATTGGCCAATTTTTGAAAAATTACAATTGTGTTTTTGAGAGAGTTGCACACAGTAATTCAATGGTATCAGCAAAGTTTTGATTAATTAATATCAGTGTATCAGAGAAAAAACACTTTATTTTTAAAATTACGTCATTCTTTTTTATATTACGAATAAGAAACTAGGTTAAAAGAAACGAATAGTATTTCAAGGTAAATAATTTATTTTGTTTTCAAGTTAAAAATCAAAATTTCTCAAAAATATCACAGGTACATGATATCTCTTGAGTAGCACAAATTCGTCGCTTTGAATTGTTATCATTTTTGCGCAGAAGTTTGTCATCATTTGTACCTAACAATAAACATGTTCTTTTGACGCAACAAACTCTTTACGTAAATAAATGTTCACTTTGTGTTCTTCTCTCCTTGCTTAAAAGAAATGTTTATTTACGAGAGATTCGTGAAGTTGATCGAACGCGGAAAAGTCGACGGTCTCACGCGACAGATATAAAGTACAAAGAGGAACGAATAAATAAAGTAATCGCTCGTATATGTCAAATACAATGGAAATAAAGGCCAACAATCGAGCAAAACAGTATGTCAAATCAATAGTTCATTTAATAATATATACAAATGACGGTACGTTTCGAACACACAGTGTCTTCTTCAGCCGATAAATTCGAATAATTACATGAAGTCGCGCAATAAGCAAAGTATCAAATAATCAAAAAAATAATAAATAAAGAGGTAAAATAATCGGAGACTACGAATAATACGAATAATAACAATAGTAATTCTATAGAATAGGGCCCTTTCTGAATTTTGATATTTTCTTGCGGTTTTCTTGGTAAAAGCCTTTTTCGGGCTCCCCCGATTGATTATCACTGTCGAAGTCACAACAAAGGTTTTTACCAAGAAAACCGCAAGAAAATATCAAAATTCGGAAAGGGCCCTATTCTATAGAATTACCATAACAATAAATCCAAAGTTCAAATCGCTGCTATACAAGCAGCGGGTAAAGCAAGGTAAAAAAATTCTTAAAATTCTTTTCTTTCAATGTACAAATAATAGTTTAAAATTTTGTCAAGCCAGCGCGAGCAGTTTTAACGTTGGTTTTGTGTCTCCTTGATTACAAGGCAGAAAGACAGGCGTAAAAAATCTGTTTAAAAACCAGCAACATTACTCACCAATCAGAAGTAATTTGGTTAAAAAAAATCTAAGCCAACACGCACAAATGTAATCTGGGTAACAAACCTGGCTCATAAGCCAAAAAACGAACGTGTCCATCTGTAATATGCGGTCAAGGAGCAACGTGTTTTGAAAGGACACGCAAGTAGGCGATAAGAAATATAAAATTCAGAGAAATTATATTGGGAAATTGCACTTACTATTGGACCATCCGCCGTAACGGAAACGTATCACTCGAATAAGAATAAGGAAAATTTATAATAAGACAGAATGCGTCAGCAACAATAGGATAATTCGTTGAAAATTATGTCGCAAATCGCGCCACTCCGGTATGGACCAGAAGAAACGGGGAGAGAAAGCAAACTCAAGGGCACAAAAATAAACGTGCGAACCGTGCGGTGAAATTTAAACCTTTGAAAGTTGACCAAGTATATCCAAGGAAATTAGAAGTTCAAAATCTTTTGAAACATTAAATCTAACATTTAAAAGACAACCGTTCCCAAGTAAATTATTATGAATTCAAGATTTGTTATCTTGCTTGACGTCATATAATAACGACCCTCAAGGTTTTAATTTCATTAATTATCTACTATTAAAAGAGATTTCAATCTAAATTGAAATGTTTAACTGATTGTTATGAATTAATTATTTCCTGTATATTAGTATTATTATAATTTGCGCAATAACGCCTGCATATTTTCCTGCCTTGGTTATTTTGTTACTATAATTACACAGCTCTCAAAGTCCGACACAAAAGATTTTTATCGATTATAATTTTTAAATAAAAGATGATATTTTTTATTTTTTAACAATAAAATACATATGCTTCCTGCTCTTTCTTCGTGGAAAGAATCAAAGTGTATACTACGATCACCTCACGGATTTCTTTGAATTAAATTACTCCGAGAGAAAAAGAAAGGGGATAAAGGATTTACATACTCAGCTGTTCGTGCGCGGCGTTGAACTTCAAAAAGGAGAGCTGCGTTTCTTTACCCAGTGGCAGCACGTCGACGATCCGATTCAAACTGGCAAGCACCGCGACGATGGCGTATCGGTTGTCTCCCTCCATGTAAGTCCAATGTACGACCAACTCGCCGCTTAACTTATTCCAAACGAGATTTTCCACGCGACCGTTGAACTTGGTACTCACATAAGCTGTCATCGCGCACTTGTTGACGTTCCATAATGACAACGATCCGCTCTTATTTCCACCTATGCAAACCAAGCCGGGCACTTTCGGATGCCAGGCGATCGCCTGTCAAGTACGAAACACTTTTGTCATCTTTACCGCTTTTGTCATTGGAAAAATGTAATTTGCGTAGAATAGTATATTGGTCAGCAAATGAAGATAAGTAGATTGAATAAAGTGAAAAAAAAAACAAAGAGAAAAAAATTATAATAGCTTAATTCTTTACACTGAGAATGGCCTAGTATCAGGCCGAAACGTTTGTCAAGTTGTCAATTCTTGACTAATTAAAGATTACGACACTAACATCTTGTTGCGATTCTGTGCCCTTTTCAATTTATTTATTAATTTTTAATTCATTTGAGCCTTCTAACAATTAGATTATAATTAGATTAATATTAATTTTTAATTGCGAGCAATATTCGAAATAGACAGATTCTCCTGTCGAGCTTCTCGAATTTATCTATACACAAATAGTTACTTGAAGAATCACCTTTGCCGCTTGGTATTCGTGATTATTCGACCTTTATTGATTATATTGAATCATAGGTTTGTGAAACAAAATTGCCGAAGCTGCATTCAGATTTGCTTCGACCGCAAATCTGAATGATACTTTTCGTAATATTGTACATTGACAGCGTCACGAATAAGGGCATTAACGATTAACTCGTGCGATGTAAATCTCTCTCCCTCTTTAAGGGGGTAGTACAGTCTGGCGGAGGGTCAATTTCAGGATTTATTTGTGACAAAGTGGTAGGCCAATCAGGTTCATGTTGTATACAATATTGAACATGTTTAGGTGCATTTACAGTATTTTTTATATGGAAAAATATTAAGAAATGTAGCAGTTATGAGTCATCTTTTCGCGCGCGCGCTCGACTACGGTGTATGTACCTAGTAGCTCCTGTACGGCGTGCCTGAAATAAAAAACGCAAAAAGGGTATTAAATTTAAATGTATTTCCCACAGAGTGACGTTCGAAAATTGCAAAAATGTTAAAAATTGTGAAAGTTATAGCAGAAAGTTATTTTGTGCCAATAAACTTTTTGTCAACTTCTTTTTGTTAAGTGCTATAACTTTCACAATTTTTAACATTTTTGCAATTTTCGAACGTTACTCTGTGGGAAATACATTTAAATTTAATACCCTTTTTGCGTTTTTCATTTCAGGCACGCCGTACAGGAGCTACTAGGTACACCGTAGTCGAGCGCGCGCGAAGAGATGACTCATAACTCCTACATTTCTTAATATTTTTCCATATAAAAAATACTGTAAATGCACCTAAACATGTACTTCAATATACCATGAACCTGATTGGCCTACCACCTTGTCACAAATAAATCCTGAAATTGATCCTCCGCAATCCTCCGCCAGACTGTATTACCCCCTTAAGGATTATGGTCGAATAACGTTTCGCCGACGTACCTTTACGGGTTTAAAGAATTTAATATCGAAACAAGGAGTCAATTCCGGCCAGGTGAACATTCGAGCGATTTTGTCCTGCCCGGTCGAAATGAGGTGTTTGAAATTCGGCGAAAAACTCAGAGTTAGGATGTCAGACGTATGCTCGTAAGTGGAATGCAGCAACTTGCCCGTGTTGGGCTCGTATATCGATATTTTGCCGGCACATCCGCTGCGAATATAATATAATTTTTTATTTATTAATTTTTTATTGGTTTTATATATATGTATATATATATATATATATATATATATATATATATATATATATATAT